GAGGGAACAGAATTTACACTAATCGTCCCGGGACGATCCATATCGGCCCGAACGATCCTGGAGTAGATTTGATGTTACAACAGAAGTCTTTGAAGTAAGTCTAAGTAAGTTTAAATAGAGAGTCTCTCAAAAAGACTTAAATTTCAATCTGTCGACTCTGATCATCCTATACAATTCAAGATCGTCTTGTATGATTAGTTCAAAGTACTCTTGTTTGTATTATATGAGGAGGTAGACCATGTACGACCAGTTCAAAGAGATTAACTGATCGTCTAGGAGGATTGAGAGCATCGTCTAATACGATTAGTACAAAATAACACTTTTAGACATTATGGAATGTATTTTTATGTATAATAAGTTCAAGAGTTTGTATTGATCATCCCATATGATAATTGACGATAAATAATCATCCCATGCAGAGCTCAGTTCGTATAGTACGAAATTAAGGAGGGGGGCGAGGGGGGGGAGGGCATCCGGTATGATTAGTTTTAAAACTATGGCAAATCATCTTGGACGATAGGCAATAATAAATTAAAGTCTTATATATCGCTCGAGTTATACAGTGCAATTGTCACCAATCATCCTGTACGGTTTAATTTAACAAATTAACCATTATCATTTTTCTAATCACATGATCAATTTAGTCATGATTTTCATATATCGTACAATATGATGCATATCGTATGGTACGATTAGAACAAAATTTGAATCATAAAATATTGTCTAAATGATTATTGGAGTCTATTTTAATAATTATACTTGATCAGCCTTTATGATAAGGATTGTCCAGGATGATTAGCTTAATCAATCGCAATTAACAGAGGTACCTTAACTAATAATTTTTTTGGTTAATTGATTTTCCAGTACGATGTAAAACTAATAATACGATTAGTTCAAAAAACTCATTTTCTTCCTAACTCATCCTCTTGAGTGTGTGTGTGTGTAAGGTTATTCAGGTTTGGGATCCACCACAATACATGATTGACTCAAGAAAATAAAAATTATATAAAGACTAAAAAAATAGACTTTGATCCTAGTCTACTCAGCCTTGAGCTGATCTAAGTTACAAGTGAATAGTGGACATGAAATGTTAGTGAGCAGCGTAAAAATAATATGTAATAAACTTAATTATATGGAGATAGCATAGTAAGAAAATTAATAATAATATTTGTTATCATCAAAATCACAAGACTTGGATCCTTATTTGTAATAAAAACTACCTGATGAAATATGAAAATGATCATATTAATATATTTAGAGTGAAGATTTCTATGATATATCAAAATTTACATAGTAAAAGTTTGCCAATTCACAAGATATTATATTTTAAATAGATTTGAGAGAGAAATCATTAGAAAATAAAATTACTTATAAAAGTGCCATGATTTGTTGCAACTTAGGAATCCAGCTTGAGAATGTATTTTTTATGTAGAAAAATATTATTATTCTGTTATTTTCTTCTAACATGTACTAAACATTTTCTGTTTGTTATTTGTGTGCACTAATATTTCAGGGAAATCATATTCAAGAATGTTGAATACTTCAACATATAATAGATTAAAATTTCATGTAATGAAGTTTATAAATCTTTTTTTTTTAGTCTGAGAGAGTGTGATTGTAATTGGGTAACCGTACACACATATAGGAGTGAGTCAAAACTTAAAATTTTAAGACTAATCATATTATATGATTTCCAATCGTACTGGATGGTTTATCATATTTTTTCCTCTAAAATGAATTTAATCAAATCATGTCTTGTATTTTTTTAATTGTTCGTATTATGCAAAGTTTATTCATACAAATGAATCAAAAAGTACAAAATGGGTGCGTACCAATTCATCCCAAACGAACTCATTTGTTTTTGAACTGTTCTTATTGTAAGAAGTTTATTCGTATAGATGACTGATATAGTATGAAATGGGGTCATCCATATTTGTACCAAACGAAGCATGATTTGTATTAATTGTTCTTACTATACGATGTCAATTCATACAGATGACTGATAGAGTACGAAATAAGGTTCATATAGGATCATACCAGACAAAATAGGTTCAATTTTGAATGATTCGTACAGTATGATGTCAGTTCATAGAGGCAACAGACATAGTATGAAATTAGGTTCGTACATAAACGTATATAGATTTTTGAACTATTCGTACAGACGATCCTCAATCGTGTTATACATTCTTAAGTCAGTTGACTTATAATTTTTAATTTTCTAGAAGATTTTTCTTGTGTTTCATATATAAAAGTCCTAAAAATTGACACTCAAAACCTTTGCTACAATTTTCTCTTGAGATTGGCCATTGAGTATGGGTGTTTGGGAAAGATTGTGAGACTAAAGCATGAGAGATCAAGTGAGGGGGAGGGTCCATACTTGGTGGCAGTCGTGGTGAAGCTCGAAACTTTTAAGTTAAAGAATGTCCAGGGAAAGATGCTCCCTAGGACCTGGAATGTAGAAAACCTCTGTAAGTACTATCAGTAAAGAACATCATTGCTACTTATTTTAAGTATTATATGTCTTTAGTATTGTATGTCTTCAGTGTTTTATGTCTTCAGGATTGAACATTATATGTCTCATATTGTATGTGGTGTTTGTAGCTTCTTCATCCCTGAATTATATCAAGGAAGTATGCCTTTATTTAATACAGTAAAAACTATGTTCCCTCCTTGGGTTACATTATTTCCTTCTTTGAGTAAGATCATATTGATAGATTCACACAAGCTGTGAACTTCAATCTTGAAATCCTTAATTCGAGCAACACATAATTATAACTCAATCAATGGACTATCAATCCTACGGGAATTTGATTTGACCTCTTCTACACAGGTTAAAAAGTATTAAATAATGATATAATCAACAACCTTAAATAAGTCAAACACCTTAGGTGGGTGTCACTTAATTTTTATATCCTTGATTCAAGACCTACGCACTTTTTGTTGCACCTCAATCACTGGATGATCAATCCCATGGGGATTCGATCCGACCTCTTCACATAGGTTTATCTACATCATAACACTATGATTAATAACCTCAGAAAGGCCAAACACCCTTAGTGGGTGACTTTTAGACCTTGGAGTCCTTGATTCGAGAAGCCTAAATCTCATCACTGGATGTTCGATTCCAAAGGGGATCTAATTTGACTTCCATCACACAGGTTAAAAAAGCTTTGTATAAGGCTAAAACAAACAACCTCAGATAAATCAATTACCTTAATAAAAGGAAGCATATATAAAATTCACTCAAATTAAATAAGAACACTGAAATATTCACTAGTCAGATAAAAATTACAACAATTTTTTTATTAAATTATAGAAGATAACATACATGAATGCAAACATCTAATACATCATACTTACTAAAAAAGATAAAGTGATAATAGTGGAGCATAAAAAATAAAAGAGCTAC